TACTGTTCCAGTCTATGTGGCACTGCAAGACTTGTTTCCCTTTTATCAGAAGACCACTGACGATGGGAAAAGTATGTAGAAATTTCTGCAATCTAAGTTTGGTCAGTTAATACCAAGTCTTTTGATATGGTTTGAAGCTGGCTCCCTGCCAAGTCTCCAAACCTTACCACGAGAAGTCCCCCCCCACCGCCAAACCTCAGGGAGAAGAGGGAGAAAAGACAACCAAGAAAACCCGAAACGAGAGAGAGACAGCTAAAGTGATATATATAAATATATTTACACCTATATTGCAGTTATATACAATTGAAATATATATACAATTTCACAGGGGAAAGGGAAGGGGGAAGGGAAAAGGAACATCGCCGGCAACCTCCATCTCCCAAGGTCAACAAGGCCTCACCAGGCCTCGCTCCCCAACACGGCAGACTCAACAGCAGGGAACCTGCACCTCCGAGCCGCCGGAAGGAAACAGAGCGAAGGCCTCTCCTCCTTTCTTCTTATAGTCTGGCTTACGTAAAAATCGTAGGGAATACTGGGTAAATCTGGACCCTTCCTTGGCTACAAACTGGTCACCAAGGAAGGCCCAGCCCAAACCACCACACCTTTGAAGCTGAGGGATAACTCAACTTTTCTCTACTTAACAAGCAATTTCCTTTCAATCAAGGAAAAATTAGGGCTTTTAAAACTCCTGTGAATTGAAAAATTACTGTCTGCTGGCCTGACATATGAAGGATACCAGAATATTAGAACTTACATCATTTTGGTATCATGGCTGAAATTCTGGCTTCAACTCCTTCTTCCTTGCCCCTGTTCTCCACATGAAATGGAGATAACACCTTTTGTCTGCCTTACCCTGTTAGTGACCTGTTCAAAACAGGGGCTCTGCCAATACATCTACAACACCCACAATTGAGCTCCTGCTCTCTGGATTACCCACATGATAAAATAAGGAATAAAAATGAGATCCCATCCTGGTTGACATCTAATCTCAGAAAACTAAAACTTTCACAACAATGCACACTATGAACCATGAGAAATGCACTACAAAATTTTACTTCCCAAAAGCCTGGTGTTTGTAATACAGAAAAGCAATTTTTCTTAACTTTCTTTTTCACACTGACAGTTATTTTTAGCCTAATGCTGGAAGCCCTAAGATTCCCATTTCTTTCAGTGAATTTTAAAACAGGCTCATTATTTGACTGAATAAAGTCAAAGTGATTGTTCACATCAGGAGAATTACTTGCACAGGTTTTAATCCACTGTTCCAGGACCTTAATTTACTCTGCCATTTCCCAAATGTTTTCACACAACCTGAGCAAAGAACCATAGAATGGGACAACAATCTTACAAGTCATCTTCTATTATTTCCCAATAATTACCATGTGGCTTTTGCTTTGTCTCTCTACATTTCTTTCAAAGACTTCAAAGCAGAAGAAAAAATATTGTCCACGTTAAAATTTGAAGGTGGAAAGCATCCTGCATTCCTTCTTATTTTCCAGTTAGAGACCCTAGAAAGGAGTCGAAGAGTTTATTTATAATTCTTCACACAATATCAACATGAACTTTCATTCTTTAAAATAACCAGCTCACAACAGAGTTTTGCTACACTTGAGTTTTGCAGAAGCACAGCATATTCACAGGTTTATTAACCAAGGTATCTGACTGGTCTTGGGGAATAGAGCCTTCAATAAAGTGTGCTGGTACAGTGTGTTTTGGTTGCAATTTGAGGGCAGCAGGAATAATTAATTAGAAATATTTTTGTGTGTGTCTGTGATGTGAAAAGCTCTCCCTGGTTTCCCCTGTCCCTCGCTTGGTTCACTCAATAAATTGAACTTACCAGTGTGACATTGTTTCTGTCCCCTCCTCACCCTGACAGAACCACAGGCTGGTCTTCTTTTGAAGGCAAATAACATTTTTTCTGTAACTTTCACAAGAAACTGCAATGCTCACATAACTCACAGAAAACTACCTGAAAGTGATAGTTATGTACTTTACAAGTGACAACCATTTAGAACCTGTCAGTCAGGAAGAAAATTATTGCTCTTTGTGCATAAAATTGCAATTAAATTGTGCTTCTTGTGTTTCAGTTAAAAAAATAAGCATCTCTAGACCACAACTTAAAGCATCAGAGAACAGACAGATTTCCAGGGATTAATTCAGTTTTCAGGTACCTCACTGCAAATTCAGAGCAAGTCTATTAAACTGAAAAGCTTTCACATGAACTTACAATAACAATGAAACCAAAATTTTGCCCCTTCCTGCTTATTTCTACCAGTGTTTCTTCCATATTTGCTCACTGCTTCCCATCAAACAAAATGAAACCCCTGTCCAGATGTAATGTGGGGGCTTTAGCCATAGATATTTCACTGCCATCTGATATGTAAAAATAGACAGGCTGACAGAATGGGCTTCATCACATACTTTTCCTAACTACACATCACTGTTTTATATGCACTCCAGAAAACACAAATTAAATAAAATGTGCTTACACTATAGAAAAGGTGCCTAAATTTATAGCTGAAGAGTGTTAAAGACCTTTTTTCAGAGACTGAGCAATTAGAAAAATTACACTTCATAGCATTCAAACCTCATACATTGACACCAAAGGATAAAGTACAAATAAGGAAAAAGGTTTTTATTCTTATAACATTTGAAGGAAGTTGAACTTTCGAACTGGAAGGAAGGAGACACCCTTTGCTGATGGGAGATGATACACTGCACCAACAAGCAGCAGTCTAGAAAACAGGGTAAAATGTGTCTGTGTACTTTTGCTGCTCTCATATGTTGAAAATGTTAGTATATTGGTGGTGTCACTCAGGACACATTATTAGTAAGACATTGTATGCAGCACCCAAAAATGTACTGACAAAGCAATTGCTCTCATCTGAAAAACTGCATAGGAAAATTAAAAGTTATAGTACAGGTCATGCACTGAAATATTGCTGAAGGGAAATAGAGAGAAAAAGAAAAACATGCATAAAAATAACATATTTGTGAAGAAGACTATTAACTACATAGTTATCTAATCTATTGATATAATCTGAATAAAAAGCAAGGGACACAAGCAAAAAGAACTGGGCAATAGTGGAGTGGACAGTGAGGAGAATCTCTTACACAAAGAGTATTTTATATAAGATGGAAAGGCACGACAGGCTAAGTCCAAAAGCTTGAAGTGTGTCCTCAACAGTTCTGAACATTCTGTATTTCTGTCAGAAATGTTCTTTGGAGCTTTCTTGCCTACATAAGAAGTTTCAGTGTAAAGAAAAGAACCTTCCATAAACAAGCAATTGATGAAATATATCACAAGCTCTTTCTTCAATTCACCCAAGCTACATTAAATTATTAGTTATACTTAGTAAATTATTCATATTTAAATGGTGTATTATTTACTCCATACATGTAATAAAATACAGCTTTTTCTCTTATATCACCTGCCATCAGGGTCAACAGGGTTTCAAGCAACTATTAGAAAAACAAGGAGAGCATTCACTAGCAAAATAGCCAATTAATATTCTAAGAATTCCAGAGGGAGTTTAAAGCTTGATCATTATAAATTTGAAATGGCATGTTCAGTTTAGGCAGATTAATTAAAATATCCAGGTACGTGTTGTTATCATATTGAATCTACATATATCTATACTGAGGTTGCATTAGTTTGATAAAATGATGTATTAGTCCCAAGAGGTTCTAATTAGATGTGAATAAATGCCACAATGAACTTTTCAGGGAAGCTCAATAGGACATTGTCAGTCAGTGTCAATGCAAATATTGTCTCTTACTGATAAACACACAACCCCCCCAATTCTATTTCCAGAAAGCCATAGGATAACTACAATAATAACAACAGGGATCAATCAGATTTTTCTGTTGCAGTAACTATTTTTTTTTTGTAGATTTGGCAAGAAGAGTTATTTCTTCCAGCTAGAGTGCAAACATCAGGCTACAGATATAATTAGAGCTCATGGACATGGACCTGGCCAGTCACCCTCAGAGTCTGATATTTGCCTTGGAAAATCATTCATTTTACAGAAAATCTCTACCACCCCCCCCCCCACCCCCACTACGAGGTAATTCGAGATATATCCTTTTAGTGAAGCTCTTTTTAAAGCATTTTTTTTTAAGCAGTAAGAGAAAACAGTTTCTTTCAGGTACATCAGTTATCTGCAAACTAGAACTACATTCTGCTTATGTATTGAATTCTACCTAATCCTAATACAAATTTCCATAGCTCCACCTAGACATGTAAAAGACTGTATGAGCTATTTGAGCTCCATCAACAAAAGAAACCCCCATGAAAGGCCCCGAAAAGCAGCTGTACTAACTGGCACCTTGCACTGGAAATGATCCCCTCCCTGGGGCTGGGCAGGCATTTCAGGATCTTGCACTCTGTGGGAAAACATCCATCAAGTACAATATGGACACTCACAGACAATATGGATTTCATGAAAATAAAGGACTGAGAACACCTTTTTAGAGCAAAGTATAACACAGACAGGCACTGCCCAAACTTCCCCACAAACCTTTGCCTGTGAGCAAGTCTTGACTTGCAGCCCTTCTGCTATTCCAGCTCTTGGCCCTTCTTGACCAGAGGCTGCCAGGAGTGCTGACCAGAGCCAAACTCTGGGATGGGAGCAATATCCACTGGGCACAGGGATGTACTTCCAGCCTGTCAAATAACACTTGTGGAACAGTAATGCTTCGAGCTGTGGAAGGGGGTAAAATCTGAACTGGCAAGCCAGCTCTTTTACCAGCTTCTTACTTTTCTTTTTTTAAATCCTCTGAAAATTCCCATCTGAAAGGAAGTTAGTTAAAGGTACTATTTAATAGCACAATGCAGATGTTTGTTTGTACTCTGCTGCTGACTCCAGCTGGAGCTCCCAATACGACCTCCCCTGAGAGGCAGGAACATGAACTGAAAGCTGCTATTATTGGGCAGGACTGGCTGAAGCAAAGGGTCTCAACACCCAGATTTCATTAGAACACAGACATTCTGGACAGACCTGTCACTTCAAAATGTGGTTGCTTGGCTGCTTCCACTTTGATGGTTCTTTGAGAGGCTCCTTCTCCAGAGCCACCTAGAAACAGTGCAGAAATAAGGGCATTTTTAAAATGACAGGTCTAAGGAACCAGAGTGCCCTAAATTAAATGGTTATATTTTTAAAACTGAATTTAGCAGCAAGGGGCTCTCTCATCCAGTTTCCTTCCATTGCACTCCCTCCACTCCAAGAATATCAAGCAGGCAGCATTAATAAAAGTCTCCATGCTGCAGATGACATATGACAGAAGGGAAACTCAGATTCAAGCCATTGTTTTAGTACTTCAAGTTGGAGTAAAATTTTGAAGTACCACTTATTTCACATACCTTAAATAACAGAAGCTCCATTTCCTTCCTAGAGACTTTAAACACCCCAGACACTCTGTTACATCCAAAGTGGTGTCCAGTTACCCAATCTGGCAATTCACATGGATGTCTGAGTGTTTGTTTAAAATATCTAGAAATTATATGGCAAAGAATTAACTCATGAATTTTCTGGTACAACTTCATCAGCTTCAATCATGTTTCTTTAAGGTGATGAAGGAAAAAATAGGAACATGATCCAAAATTAAATGGAAGGAGTTTCCCAACGGACTTCAAGAGACCTTTGAACAAATCAAGGCAAAAAAAAGGTTTAAAAATTGACTAAAAAGTTTAATGTGATTCTTCTGTCCCCTACTGCTGAACCAGTGCCTGAAGTGAAACGTGGACCCGGAATGAAAATATACAAATAAATATATCTCCATCAGAAAATGTTTTTGATTATAACTGAAACACTTTGGAGGAATAGAACTGACCAGACAAAGGTTTCAGAAGAAAACAGAAAAGCTCTAAGATGCACAGCCTTTCACAATCCTTAACATGGGAAACCATTAAAGTCACAAAGCAAGTGTAATTTTTTAAAATAAATCATATTACTGTTGTGCCTTCATCTGCACTGTCCCAAATTTTACAAAACAAATGTCGTGTCTCCAGTTGTGTCACATGTTCAAGGGGTGAGGGCTCAGAGTGCCCAGCCCAAATCCCAGGCTTTGCCTCATTGCAGGAGTGTGGACGTGGATGGTCCATGTGGGAAATAAGGAGGGCTTTTAATACTGGGGGCTCTTGGACTTCAAACTTGGAGGGAATATGGGCCAACCAGCCAGAACATGAGTATCACACCACTGTGCTGGAGGAAATGACCCTTCTGAGATTCCAACTTCATTCTAGCTCTATTTTGTACAATTTATTAGATGAAAACAGCTTTTGTATTGTATGGCTTAGCAACTTCAGTGACAGATTTAATTTCCAGTTATCTCTGCTACAACAGTAAATAAATCTCTCAAGTGACAGTGTTCCTGTATGCTTATATATTGTCCTAAAATGAAACATATTGCACCATAACTGTTTATTGGCCATTCAACTTTAATTGACCAATTTTTAGGCAGTTATCAGTTGGCTATTTTCTTCAAAGCAGATAACATTCTTGACAGTTAAACTCCTTTTCCTTCCCTGTTGTCAAGGGGTAAAATTATGTATTTGTGAAACTTTACAAAACATTTCCTCCATCATTTGAAACACGAAATTGATGCAAAAAAAAAAAAAAAGAATAATACCCTGTGACTGGGCAGCCTATTTCCTCTCTGAATCACCAAGGAGTTTACAGTAAATTAAGAGTGGGTATCCTGAAAAGCAAGTGGGTTTTGCACTATTTTAATATCAAAAAATAAAATGAAAACCCAGGTGCCTTTTACAAACCTGCAGCATCATTTGGGAGTGCCTAAAATCCAAATACAAAAGGACTACTTATTAACATGACAACTGAGAAACAGAAACTGAGAATTAAACTCAACTTGATATTTTCAATTCAGCCTGATTTTTACTTTTCTTTATGGCTGCCAAAACATTTCTAAGAAGATATCTTTCATGGAATTCTGCAGTCCTACAAAATGTCACTTACTAGTTTAAATCTGTGTCACAAAGCAGGGAAAAATGTACGCTTGATATTAAAAGAAAAAAAAGGAACAGAAATAGATTTCATTTTGAATCCACTGCCAAAACCCATCTGACAAACACTTGGCCTTTGGCCAGTCCCAGTTGAGGCTGACATGAGGATCTGTCACTGGAGGAATTCAATCCTTTGCTTTGGGAGGCTGGCAAGGACTCGGCACAGTTCCTGGTAGAGGTGGTAACATTTTGGAGATGAGCAGCAAGCTCCTGGATAATGCTCTGTGGAAATGGAGGAGATGGCAAACAAATACTGTGTCAGCAGAGAGCCATCCTCACCAAAGCTATCAGCCATCCTCACCAAAGCTATCAGCCAGCAGCTATTCAGTTAAATAGAGTACAGATCTCCCCAGACATGCATGCACATACCCATTCTCACTGGTGCTGTCTGACATTAAGTAGCAAAGACTAATAATTTAAAGTTAAATACTCATTTTTCAGCCTTACCTAGACCCTGTTTGTTATGTTGTGCCTTATAATTTTAGGAACATGAAGCAACAGATGGTAACAAAAGCCATATTTTCTTTAATTGTGCCTGCTCCTGAAGAATGTCACTCTCTGTGCTCCATCCCATAACAAGAGGTTAAACAGATTGGATCTGTGAGCCCAGTGCCCAGGCACTGAAGCTGATGTATCAGCAAGACTTTCTGGATATTCTGGAGGTCAGTACTCTTCTTAGAAGGTTGACCACATCTTGGTCATGCCCAGTCAGACTTTAGTGTTACTTGGAGCTTTCTTTCCTTTTCCCAAGTTCTTCTTCTCTCTCCCTTCTCCTGTGCTTCTTTCCTTTGCATCTCCTAATCCAAGGAGCATAAGGTCTTCCTAACCTACACAGTCACATCTGTTGTTGTTAATTAGAGGGCACTGAGCAATCAAATATTCCAAAGTTCAAAGCACGAGAGAACAGAACGTTTGGCAGGGCTATTCCTCAGCTTGGGAACTCCTGTTTGTCCAGAAAGGACCTCTTTACTTACTCTTGCACAACCAATTGTATGTTCTTCATCCCTTGTTTCTAGACATTAAGAATAATTATGACACTTGTTGCAGTCAGCATCAAGTTCCCTTTGCTTCAAGAAGGTCTCAATTCAGCCTGGGTTTTTTGTTTCTTTTTTTTTGTTTGCTTTTTCTGATAGAATTTGAAATGCATGTCAAATGTTTTATTTTACTATCATAAAACTAAGAGGTTTATAATGCTGTTGTTTTACCCTATTTTGTTCATTTTCATGCATATCAAATGCAAAAGATTAGGACACATTTGAAAGATACAAATTTGAGAAGAAGGACACAGTCTGGATTCCATGAGCTGCTGTACATTGATTTCCTCTACACACAACCAGTCCCAGCAAAGGTGACTGGACCTGCAATACTCAGGCAGAACTACACACAAAACTCAAATTGAAGGAGCTCTGTAGATCAGGGACAGACCTGGTTTGAATTGTGAGCTCACAGCAGAAACAGCTGAACATTTCTGCATCTGGAAACTGGTTGTAGTTATAAATGATATGACTCTGGGAAACTTTTGTTGTGGTTCTTTAATCTTTTAGTTTTCAACTGAAACTTGTTTCATTAAAGTGGGGGATGACTATTCAAGGGCTGCCTTTATAATTTTTGTTACCAGTTCAGACAGAGATCTGGTTTATGTGCTTGATTTCAGCAATGAAGGTTTATTGTATTTACTAAACCATATGTTTTTCTACAGCCTGCTTGGAATTTATGATGACATTGTTTTGGTTTAAGTTGACAACTACAGTATGTTTCAAGTTAGCTGATTTCCACTGAAAATTGTAGCCTCTAATGAAATGAAATCTTGAAAATTTTCAGGCAATTACATTTTTCAGCACTGGTGACAGAGTTCTGTTGCAAGGATTTGTTTGGGGATTTTGTTGGTTTTTTGTTTTGTTTTGTTGGGTCTTTTGTTTGGATGGGTTTATTTGGTTTTGTCAGGTTTTTTATTATTTTATTTTTTCTCCACAAATAGATAAAATTCTCTGAAAGGTCTTATTATTACCTTTTTGGCAAATTCATCATTTTGCAAAGGATCTAGAAATCAAGAGTTCTGTAACTGCAAATGTCCATTCCATTAATAGAAACAGCAAAAATACATATTGGGCCCATTTTATTGTACATAATAGTTGTGTTGTAAAATATAAAAGTGATTAAATATGCAATTGTGATCCTTCAAATTTTACATATTTCATCCAGAATAACAATAGCATGATAAATGCATGTTTCCCACTACAAAATCCTTTAGCATTTCCAGAGTGAATGGGAAAGTTGGTATTAAAAGCCACTGTACAAAGCCTATCCTATCTCGTGTCTTTTTACTTTCAAGACTCTCATGTTTGTTAGTAACTAAATATATTATTTACTAAATAAAAGATATTCTCAAATGCTGATCTGTAATAATTTGTGTTAGTGGTCAAATGATACAAGGCAGTTACCAAATAAAGTTCTAGCTTAAACTCAAACTCTTCATGGATAAAGTTTAATATAAAACAAATTTTGGCTGAGGAGGTAAGAGGTAAATAAACAATCTCTGTGCTGAGAAGTCCAGTTCTTTTGTTTCTCTACAATGATATAACTGATTAAGAAAAAAGGGGAAAAGACCATCTCAAATATTCAAAAGTCATTCTCTAGAAAAGAAGTAGCAGACTAAATGTACATAGGCTAACACAATAAGTCCCAGTGGAAGAGTTTGTAAAGAAACAGCTAGAAAGGAGTGGTAAGTTTTAGAAAATGTATTTTCCAGGTTACCCTCTTCCTTACATTATGTTGTATCACTTCTATTAAGATTAAACAGTTCTGTGATTCAGAAAATTCTCAAACACTTCAAAAAACTATTTACAAGTTCTCAAAGCTTACCCTGAATTGCCCAGTGGAGTCACTATGACCAATGCACCTGTGACTGTCCCAAAAAGGTCTGAACACCGTGAGCTTCCACACCTGAGCAAAAGCCAAATGGCAAAAGCCACTTCACCCCCTGGCAGTGGGGGGTGAGTTCATATGAACAAGAGCTACAGGAGACAAACCCCTGAGCTGCCATCAGTGAAACAGTGCCCATACTCAGCCAGTTTCAAAGGATTAGATATTAAACAAACACAAACTTTGCTTTTCACGTAACCCCCTCCTAATGACTGAAGGTCCCACATTAACACCCCACACAACAACCCCAAGTCCTGCTCCCCACCCTGGGTCCCTCCACTGCATCATCCCTGATTTCCCAGCCATGCATTTTTGCCACACTTCCTTGGAGTGTGAGAAACCAAACGTTCTTCGGCCTATGACCAGGACCTGACATGACAGGATTCACAAGACTTTTAAGAGCCACATAAAATGCTCTGAAAATCATTTTGGAAGATGAAGGCATACCAAGTCTGGTTATGATTATTTTCCCACTGTAATGTTATGTGTCCATGGCAGGTATGTTACATGGAGGAGGCACAGATAGAAAATTAATTTTCATTGCTTTGCCTATGGAAAACATACCCATCTCAGTATCCAGAAAAACACTGATAAAACGGTAAAACTGTGTTTTAAATAAATTCTTCAGCAGAAATGTACTTAATATATTTTAGCTGATTACTTGTGCTGTTCATTTAAATGATGGGATATTATGAAATACATATGGATGTGCTGCACTGAGCCCACTCAATTCTTTACAAACATTTAAAACTTTATTAGCTGATAGAGTAGGAGAGATTTCTTTTGATTTTCTTTCTGCTATTTTCATATGTTGAACATATGGTATATCTCTCTCAAGCCCAGCTGACACTGGAAATCAATAAAGCCTCCTTCCACTTATGCTGCAGCATCATTTGTGAATGGCTTTAACTGCACTTTTATTAATTCCAATGCTATGATCAGCTTCTCATCAATAAAGAACAAGTCATGAGATTCATAAATTCCACGTGTCATAATCTATTATTGGGCAGAGTTATACAATATTTAATTTTTTTTCTTTCTTCCAGGGTTGTGTATGCTGTCACATTCTAAGAAACCAGTTCAGACAGTGAATTGGAACTTTTTGTTAAACTGGTTTTGACCTTTTGTTAGAATGATTTCAGTGCAGTGTGTCATATACAACAATTTATAATTATGCAATCCCCAGAAGTGTCAACTGGTTTAATGTACCAACAAGTTACCCAATTTAAAAGTGGATTTACTTTTCTAACTATGAAGTTACATCAGTGTAAAAGTGAGTATGAGCTTAACAGCTTTCCAACTTCAGCAGGATGCCATTTTTGCAAGGTGCCTCCTCTACGTTTACTCTCCCTCTCGAATTTTGATTTCCTAATCCAAGCTTCAGCAGAAAACATAGTTATCAGATAATTATTTTATAATTATACAAAGTTACTTAAAGGTTAGAGATAAATAAAAATAGTACAACATTTCTCATAGGGGCTCTAAATACTCACTTTGCATTTCAGTGCACGTGTTTGCAACCTGACCAGCACTCCTCACCAAATTCCTCTCTGCAACAACAACCTCGAGGAAGCTGAACGTGTTAGATTATTATATTTACTGCAAAAAGACCATTCTTTCCCAAATAAATGTTTTATGTTGGTCAGGTCTGAAGATCTAGATTCACTTTATTATCTGTATTTTCTCTTTATGTGTCTTTCACTCATCTTTGCAGCCATCAAACCCCCACACTGCCCTGCATCCCAGATCCCCTGTGAACCTCCCTCTGCCTTCACTAAAATCTGATCCTGCCTCACTGCCTGCATTTACAGCCTTCACCTCAGGGGCAAAAATCTTCTGTCCCTACACATAATTCTGATAAATGAAAAAAACCCCTCATATAGCTCTTATTTCAGTGTATGGTTCAAACACTCCTTTCCCCCTCCCATGGAAGCTGAGATGGTGCCTGATGGCATTGCCAGGCAACACCCACAGCAGCCCATGCCAGGGGTCTGACTGTGCCTTCCCTCCCCCCCAGGATGCCAGTGCCCACCTGGGTCACTGAACACTGTCCCAGGAGAGTTTGCTTGGTCTGATTTTGGTTTGGCTACAGCTGGGAAGATTATGCAACTGTGTCACATTTTAGTCCTATTTTAAATTTTCAAGATCAAAGCTGAGTTCTAGGAACTGTTCAGTGATTCTACAGCCTCTGGGGGAGGACTTCATGGTGATTCAGAACACTCACTAGGTTCCATCTCAGAACAAGATAATATGGCCAAGACTTTAATTGTTAATAAGATGCAATGTTACTTAAAAATATTACATTTTTTAGGCAACTTTCTGCTAGAACAATGTTGTATGCTATTAGTCAATTAATTAATGAAGTGAAATTTTATTGCATGTTTCATGCTTTACAATCTTCACCAATCCTCACACATGCATTTAAAAAAATAAACAAAACAAATTCACAACACTGTCACTTTGCACCAAAAACCTCTTGGGGAGTATAACAATGACTCGCATATATCCAGAACATGAAGGGGATTAAAATGTTAAATTCAGTCAACTGGCAAGCATTATTAAAGGAAGTCAGACAACTCACATATTTTCATGCAATCCCTGAATGGAGAAATGGTTGGGACTCCTTGATAATTCCTCCTCTCAATTTTTAGAATTTCACTGCACTGGATCACAGAACTTAATCACTGAAAAAGAAAATTTCATATACACTGCTTTAAAACTTGAGGTTTCACTCCACTCCATTTCACTTTAAAGTAATATAGTTTGGTCTTCTAAGAACTGGCAGGTGTTTTGTACTTGGAAGTTTCATCTTCTGCTATTCCTGTAATCAGCAGTGCCAGGCACTTCACAGTAGCACTGACATTTTATACAAAGCAAAACATTCCTCTCCACACTCTTTTAGGGTACAGGGGGTTGACAACAATGTAGAAAAATCTCTTCCTCTTTGAATTCTGATTTACCAGCTTTCTAAATAAAACTTTATGACCTACTACATCATCTTGGATATGAACTTATCTCTAGACCAACATCAATAAATAAGAAATACGATTTCTCCAGATTTCCTAAAAATGGGAAAGTCCAAACCCCTCATTTTCTGCACAGCTGATAACAAAGGACAAATGCAGAAGCTGTAAGAGGAAGCCAACCCTTCCTGTCCAGCTTTGATGAGACTCTGCCACATCCCTCAGCCTGAGACAGCTCCTGACAGGAGACAGTTCAGCAAATATTACACAAAACCAGCCTGTGCTTCATCAGAGCATCACATCTGATGCTGGGGCACAATAAATATTTCTTGGGGGTGTGTGTCATTTTTAAATAGATGATATTATTTATTGTTAAAAATACAACACTGCATTCAGAAAAGGTCCTGCCAATCAAGCACTTGGCTTCCACTCAGACTGGATTAACAAAGTGCATCTGACCCGAGGCAGGACATTCAGCCTGGGGTTGTGTCCAGCTGTTTGCAGACATGAACCTCACAGAGCACAGAGTCTCCTCAGACTCTCCCCTGCTCAGAAAGGTGATTTAAAGGCATTGTTTATTTATTTGGTTAATAAATAAGTACTACCCACGAAGAAAGGCTGGCAGGGGGCACAGCTGCTACATCACCATCATTCATGTGCCTTCTACAGAACCTGGGACTTCTGCAAAGACATCCACCTACAGTTTAGTCAAAAAGGGACAGAAAATGATAATATATAATTCAGCAAACTGCTCCTTGCTACATTTCAAGATTAAGCCCTTGAAAATACTTTGTGTATTATTTGGTTTTGACTCTAGATTTAGTGATGGTCATCTTTGACACAACTTCTGCTTACAATTCAGAGCAATGTAAGGTCAGAACTTAAATGAGAAAAAGAACTGAAGATGAAGAATGTTCCTAAATCCTGAATCCAGAACAACTCAGAGGACAAGGATTAAGGATTTGGTGTAGGTTTCAGAGAGCAGTAAACCCTTTAATATAGGGACTATACAGCTCATATAATCCCCAGGGAAAAGCTGACATAAGGGCACAAATACCATTGATTTCCATCTATCCTACAAGATTTAAAATACATTCTGACAACATGTAAAAGGTGCATGAAACACATTTTGTTTGTAGGTCAGCTGCTTTGGCCTAGAGCAATTTGTTCCTATTTCCTAAGTTCATATGCATTGCTGGCTAGTTAATAATGAGGAATAGTCTACTCTTTAATATTTTACTATAACTATGCATACACACACACAACCAAAAAAGAACCTGGAAATAAAAGTCATTTAACCTCCAGAGAAAGGCATTATTGCAATACTTCAAATAAAGGATGAATCTTTTATTAAGAATACATCATATTACACTCAAATGATCACAATTAGACAATCCATTTGTTTTTCTAAAAGAAAACTAACTTCAAATAAACAGGAGCCTTTACTATCTGATATAAAATTATCATTTTGCCACATCTTTTCTTTCACCCTTAAAAAAAGGAAAGAAAAATCAAAAATAAGTTCTTGAATAACTAGAAATCCAACCAAATATTCCATATCTGGAAGAAGGTGTAATGAAAGTCATATAGAATGTGTGATTTATTTTTGGAAACCAATATAGACCATAATAAAATTATTTTAAACCATCTCTTTAGCCTCATTTTAAAACCAAGTTCAAAAAAGTATCTCACTGCAGGTTCACCCTACATTAAGCAATCTGACAAAATCACACCTTTCACCATAAAAAAAAAAATAATCCTGCTTTATATCATTCAGTCATTCTGTCCATATTCATCAAAAACACAGAATGTAATTTTCTTTTATCTAGAACATGAGTAGCATGGTAAGATCACAAGCTGAATAGATCCTGATCTGTTATTCTCGTAGGCTGTAGGAAGTTTCTGAGTTCAGCATTGCTGTTAAACACAGTGCAGTGCTCTGGTTTTTCTCAGGACTCCACACACCACACTGCTGTGCCACAACTTGGGCAGACTGCTGCTGCTGAAAAGTCTGTATTTTTGAAGGCATTTCTGGCCCCGAAGAAGTGACCCTCTGTCACCTTCAACTCATCGACTGCTCTCTCCTATGACATCCAAGAAGACAGTTTAGCTCTTTGAAAGCTCTTATCACAAACGCTGCCCTGTGGTGCAGCCTTCGGATGCCATCGCTCTGATTCCTTCCCAGCTCTCAGAGCAGGGCTGTTCCCAGTCCCTTCCACAGGGGTGATGGGCACAGGCAGTGCCAACCTTCCACTCAGCCAGCCTTTCACCCAGCCAGCCTTTCACCCAGCCAGCCTCCCACCCAGCCAGCCTGCCAGCAGTCCCTGCTCTCCTGCCCCTGGGTGCTGGTAAAGGTGCTGCATTGCTCAGACAGTTCATCCCGGATTTTGATTTCAGCAAACATGCCAGTTCTTGGATGTTAAGGGAGCCTTCAAACCTTGAGCCTTCTCTGTGTTCTACTCCAGCAGAATCCTCTCCTCAGCAGTGAACACTTCCACACGCTACATTCCCATTTCCCAACACCCTCAGGGCAGCAGAGCCAAACTCCTGAGCTGGGATGAATTACACAGCTCTGGCTGGGGCCAGTGGAGTAGAATAATCTCTGTTTGAGAGAGCAGCTTCAAGTTTTGGAATCCATCTTTCTCAGACTGAAGTAATCTCTAAGAAGTAAATGCCAATCCTCATTAAAGCACACCCACACGTGAAAATGTTAATTGTAGGCACTGGGATTAACACAGTGGTCCTGATATAAATATTTCAAGTCAGTGAAGAAGGTGTAGAACAGCTCTGAAAATATCAGCCAATGTGAGAAGTAGAGAAGATGAGGAGGGTCAAGATCGTGTCAAGGGGTCTAACTTGGGAACTCCAGTGATAACCTTCAGGGTACTTATGTGAACCAAGTGTTCCTCTGACAACCTTTTAATAAAGTAAAAAAAAACACAACCTGTTTTCATTTTGTTAGTCTGATTCTACTTCAGATCTTGAGCAGGCATTTATCTGACACGTGCCTGAAACAACAAAAACAAAATAATTTTAAAAAAAATTCTTTTAGGAAACTTAATAGAGACCCTTTTACCTCAGGACAAAACAAACAACAACAAAAGGGTAATGCAATATGGATAGCTTTAAATTTCTTCAAGACAATTTGGCATTGCCATATAACATGTTATAAAATTCAGTGAAATGGCTGATACAAGAACACACAAGAATTTTATGTGAACATACTTTAAGGGGAAAAGCATTTAACAACTGGGTATACATTTTCAGGTTTCACGGAATGGATTATTTTGGATTATTTTAATCAAAATTAACATGGACATTCTTGTTCTGTTTCTCCTCTTCCCTCACTTTTACACTGACATGACTCAGTTCAATGGAGTTATTTCTGATTTACAGTATACTGTGTGAGAAGGATCAGACCCCCAGACTTTAATGCACCTACCAGCACAACATAAATAAGCAATCTTCACTGGCAATCAGAAACCTTTAAAACACACAGGGAGCTTGGTACCAGAATAGCATAATCATGTCTTTGGAGTGTGGGAGGGGTTTGATATTTTTATTCTTAAAAAAAAAAAAAAAAGAAAGAAAAAGAAAACAAACTAAAATGGCAACAACAAAACCCAAACTTCTGCAATGTTCTACATAGCTGTAATAACCTTTCTGGATTACTTCTTGGTATGTAATTTTAATATCCTTCTCTCTTTGACAAGGTCAGGTCTGCTTTCTCTTTTAGGCAGCTCAGAAGATTCAAGTTATAGCTAATTGCTTTGATTATTTGTTCTGTAACCTCTAATTCCCCATGACCTTTTCCAAGCCCATTTTCAATTTAATGAGCCAAACCAGTAAAGCTTATACTGGACTTTCGATGAGAGCTGCCAGAATGCCTTGACAAATTAAGTGTTCCACAAAGGAGGCTGCTTTCAGACCAAATGAAACCGCAGAGTTAATTTTGTTATTTCTCTTTTAAGGTGTATCACTTGTCTGTATAGAACCATCGATTTTCACAAAACAAACAAACAAAACCCATTTATTTTTCTATACTACCCATACAGGCAGGATGGGTATATTAAATGTGTGTATATGTTGGTCTGAACCCAAAATTGTAACTTTAATCTTTTTCTTATCCACTTCTGTATTTGATTAAGCTACACTGACTGATACAACAAGTCCACTAGAGTGAATACTGTACTTGAGATGGAAACATCCCTACAGAGGACAAACAATTCTGAGACAAAAAACATGGATCAACAAGCCCTGAATTCTTCTCTTAAATAAGGCCATCAGTACCTATCATGAGCATAATAGAGAACTGTTAAAACAAGAGAAGTATAACTGTGTGTGGGTTTGATTTAGACCTGATTATTATTACGATTATTTTAAATGGCACAAGCTCACTTTTTAACCAAAGAAGAACTAAAGCTCCCTTGGCACAGCCTGCTCCGGTTCTCATGGTGGGACGAGGGGCTGACTTGTTTCAGGAGAGCTGTTTTCTGTTTGGCTTTGAAAGAGGTACATTTGAACACGTTTTCATAAAATTGTCTCTCTGAAGTAAATCCCATCAACTAAATTGTCTAGAATAAGGAGTGGTTGGGATACACAAAATGATGGGAGGAAAAGAAGGGAAGGGAAAAAAAGTACTCCAAGCAGCTGCTGCTGCCTTCTGGTTGGGATTGGGTATCCTACAGTCACTTCAGTGCCTCTGCACCAGCCCCCAGCTCCTGCTTTCCCTGTCACAGCACAGAGACACGTCTGCCAGGGCCCATCCAGCTCACATCTCATTTATGTTTGTGTTGGCAAGAGGGCAGAAAGATCAGCTGAGGTTTTTTGTTGTGTTTCCTGTTTGGATGGGCTTTTATTCCCCTATTTAACTGTCAGAAAATAGGTCTGCAATAAGGTCCTCTCCCCCACTCCTAAGGAACCACTGCACCAAACTGTAAGCATACACTTAGGTCAAATTTGAGTATTTTACTACAAAATACTACAACCACGTGGTCATTAGAAGCTTCTGTACTTAACAAAGGTGAATACTAGCAAGAGTACCTTTTCTCCATGAACTCCTCACTGTGATGCCACCCTTTACAAACTGTAGGTACTATCCAGCAAGTTCCTGAAGAGATTTCTGAGTTTTTGCTCAGTACTGTTTTTTATTTTGTTTTCAGTCTTTTTAAGATTGTTACTATTAAATTAGATATTTAAAGATTATATTGTTTTAGAGCAACCTTATAGCTAAACTTATAGTGAATAAAGTTCAAAATAAAAACTGAAACTTGGTGCTTTAGTGAATATGAGTCAGACTTATGTATCTGAAGTTAACCCTAGACATTGATTTTTTTTCAATTTTCTATTTAAGTGAGATATTGAAACTGTATTTAATTGTGTGGCACATTGTTAATCAAGATAAGGAAGTATCAGTGTATATCCAGAGTGGTTAATGTCAGACTATAATTGGAATGAAAGGCAACTTGATATCTGAGACTGTACAGTATCAAAGGACAGAAAGGTAGAAAAACCTCCCAAAGGTGACCTCTGGGCCACTAAAAGGAAAGTGCCAGAGATGCCCTTCTCCTTACACAGAAAGAAAGACACAAGTTCACTCCTGAGAAAGGTGGCAAGGGATGAAGATGAAACTCCTGGAAACAATTAACATTGTAAGAAGTGCATTAAACTGCAGCTGTGACAGAAAACTTCACATTTTCATTCACATTTTTTACTGTGTGATTTTTCTTATCAATGAATCCTGAGAGTGGTGGTTGCCATTTTTCAGGTGGTTACAGAAAGCTGTGGGAAGGCAAAGGATACAAAGCACATCAGCCCAGGGACTGCTGTCAGGACACAGCCCCAGCCCCTGTGCCTGCCCCAGGGAAGGGAAACCAGCAAAGGGAACAGGCACAGCCACCCTTCCTCCTCCTGGTGCTATTCGGGCAGCAGCAGAGGGAATAAAGTGCCTGGAGGATGTACTGAGGGTTCCTGTGGCTCACTGGTGAGGCACAGGGCTCTTACCCTGAAGGGGCTGAAAATATTTCTCATCAACAACTTGATCTGCTGGGGTTGTGCCAGCAGGTCAGCATCTCTTTAGCTCAGCGTGTCAAACTGAAGGAAATAGGGAAAGCACCATGGGACAAACGTTCTGACCTCCCAGCACTGTGTACAGGGATGAGATCCTGCCAGTGTTACCATCTTCCCTGCTAACACTTGCCAGGAGCAATTCCTTCTGCTGGGCTTAGGGCTGCTCCTGTTTATGTGCGTGTTCTGCTATGCACTGCCAGAGAAAGTTGTTAATATTAACAGTTTGTTTCTAAATATTCCATCCACTCCATTCAGAAATGGACAAATCACTCAGTCAATTGAAATAACTGTCTTTTCAGATCAGATAAATGATATGTAAACTTAAAAGGCTGGGTTTTTTTAAGTCGAAAGTCATTTTGTAAAGACCTTGAAATATAAAAATTGCCAAGGAAACAGAAAGTCACAACACAGGTTCCTTACCAATACTCAAAGCAAAACTATCTGACAGTGCACATCTTCAAGGGTCAGAGAGGAGTTCCATACTTTTTAAGAGATTCTCCTTGTTCTTGTATTGCTAGCAATGGTCCAGGCCTGCTGTGCAGTGAAATACTGTACTGAAATACTCCCCCCACCCCTCCTGTCAACACAAGGGATTTTACAAATCTCAGTGTCTAAAAGAATTTTACACAGGATTAGTACACAAAGATATTATAATATGTATAGTAGTAATTATTGACTGTGAGTACACAGTTAAAAAATAATAACACTCAGTTATTCTAAATACTTGTATGTATGGCAGAAAAGTCTTGGTGTCACAGTTGGACCATGGCATAGGAAATCCGGAAAAAAAACAAATAAATTTAGGAATTTTGGGAAAGAATAGCGGTTTTCTTGTACTTCCTGATTAAATATGTTATTTTCTAAACTCTTCTTATATCAGATGTTATTTTATTATGTAGCTAAAGCACCAGAAATAATGTGGTAAGTTCAGAAATCTGAATCTGTTAATGGAAGAAGTGTGTGTGATATTTACATCTCCTTTGGAGAACGACATTGAAAGAGCAGCACTACTGAACATTAATAAAAATATGGTGCTCAGTTTTCTAAATACATATACTGAGGTGGTTTACTGTTAATTCCGGTGTGAAATAAGTTGTTACTCATGAGCCTACAGCCACACACCCACTACTACCAACAGTCTGCAAGAGACAGGAATTTATATTTAATTTGAGGTTTTTTCCTGCCTAAATTAATCATGAAAACAGAACAGCCAATGCACCATTTGTGGTTTTCTGGCATTAAAGCTGGCATAGAGCTTGTCCAGATCAGGAAACACCACAGTGTAACTGAAGCCCTGAGTCACACACCCTCATCAGCATCCAGTGCTAAAGCCAACTGAATGAAAATCCCTCCTCTCTCCCATGAAGTCCTCTCTGGAAGCACCAAAGGAAGGAATTCATTCCTTTGGGAATGAAGACTTGAAGGCCAGTGTCGACAGTATCTTTCTCAAATAAGAATCAGGGAATTAGACCTTGTATTTGCAGCTAATAATTGAACCTCTTCCAAAGCAGAAGAACCTTATCCCACTTTCTGACAGTGAAACAATGCATTTTCCTAATTTTACTGTCACGGTGAATATTTCTATGTCCTCATAATGGGAAATACGATTTTTCTTCCCTAAGAGGAGAGAGCTATTTTTGCTATTTACCATGGGTTTAGGTTGACATATTTTATTTACATGTTGTTTCTCCCCATCTGAGGTTTCATACTGATGGTCCTTTGAGGAAGTTAAGTACCCCAAAGCACTACCTCTTTCAGTGTTTTGTTGAATTTGAATTAAGTTTCCCTGTAGTAAGTTACAAAATTGTTCAAAATTGACTCTAGGCATCCTAAGAACCCTAAAGCTTCTAAGGGAGTTGTTTAAAACTAAAAACTGAATATTTCCTGAAGGAAAACTACATGTCAGATTTATATTATAATGTGTTATTGTGTTTTTGTT